TTTTTTTATTCTTTTAAAATTGATTTATTTATTTTGATTCTGTGCCTTTAAATCTCAGCACTTAGGACCTGTGTTAATGCTCAGTGTCCAAAAAAAGTTGATTGATGATTGCTGGTGCCAAAGATGCCACCACTTTAACGGGGTGTGGGTGTGTTGGGGTGTCAGGTAACTGGGGTTGGTTATCTGCCTCTTTTCGCAATGTGACTATTATTTGCCATGTTGATTCCAATGTATAGCTTGGTGATAAGAGAAAAACACTCATCTGTATTGAGGGATGTCTAGGAAAGTTTTTCCTTCAGAAGGCTTTCAGAAGTGTCCAAAAATGTCCAAAATATATTGATTTTGCTGTCCCCCCCCCAAAAGGTATTCATATTTTTGTGGTTCTGTGCTTTGAAATCTCAGCACTTAGGACCTGTGTTAACGCTCAGTATCCAAAAACCTTGATTGGAGATTGTTGGTGCCAAAGATGCCACCACTTTAAAGGAGTGTGGGTGTGTCAGGTTATCTGGTACATGGGGCTGTTACCTGCCCCTTCCTGAAATGGGAATATGCTCACCTTCTACATGCTTTATCCCTATGGCCCAATGACTTAACTGTTCTTATGTTTGCTATATTGATTCCAATACACATTTAGATAAGAAAAAAAAGTATCTTCTGTATTGACAGATGTCTAGTAAAGTTCCTCCTTCAGAGGTCTTTTACAAATGTTAAAAATATATTGATTTGTTTGCAAAAAATGTGTGTGTGTACTTTTATTGTTCTGTGAGTTCCAGTAGACCCCAGAGGTCTACCCAGCTATGAAATCAATTAAGAGTGAGCTCTGCCTTTGCCCTGGTGTTGATCCATTCTGACCCCATAAGACCTGGGCCTCCCAGAAAGGGGATGAGCTCAAATATTGAGGTGGGATGGGTACGTCCTTGTTGCTTCCATCATACCAGATCTCTGTGGTGATCACAAGGGCCTGCAAAAGCTCTTGGGCCAAGGTTTCTTCTGATGCCAACTATATGGAGAAATAGTTAGTCTGGGGATTTCCTCCTGGGAAGGTGGGGAGGTCTCACTAAGTCTCTGTTAGGGCCACTCAGCCTTGTTCTAAGCCTTCTACCTACTACCTGCAGAGGCCCCAGCAGTGGGGCTAACATCCCATCCCATGTGCACCCCCTTGAACTTCACAACTTTTGCGGGCCCTAGAGGAAGGTGGTGGGACTGGGCCTTTGCTGGGACAACATATAGGATCAGGGACTTTGGAGGTCATCTATCCTTGGCCCAGCAGGTAGAGACCCTGTGGCAGAGAGCGCCACACTGATTTTGGCCATAAGCCTGATTCTGAGGCCTCCCCTACCTGGCCTTTGCCCTACACAGAGATTCTGAAAGGCCCTTCCTGCATGCACTGATCTCCAGTGTGAGAGGCTCACTCTCACCCCCCTACTTTCTCTAGGAGCAACTGCCAGACTGCTCTCAAATGGGGGGGGGGGAAGTGTTGTAGTTCAGCTGCTCTTCCCTAACGCTGTGTGCCCTGACCAGCTCTGTCAGGCCGACAGCTCTGTCTGGTTGGCCCAGCAATGGGCCATCCCGGTAGCTCTCAAGACCTCCTGACTTGTCCCTCTGACAGAGGAACCCCGCTGGGTGTTTTGATTCTATTCATCTCCTCCCTGCCTCAGGGCTCAGGTAGTGTCTTCCCCTTTCTGTCACCCCCAAGGTTAACATGTTCCCACTGTGGCTTTTTTGCAGGCTGGGGGAAAACTCAGTCTTTTTCACTTGCCTTTCTAACTCCTCCTCCTCCTCTCTCCTGTAGCCACCTCACAACCATACACACACACACACACACACACACACACACACATGCCCTACAGACTACATTGGCACAAGGTCATACAAACTTCCCTGAGCCCTACTGGTAGTAGTAGTAGCAGTAGCAGCAGCAGCAGCAGCAGCAGTAGTAGAATTATAAGGAGGGCAGCTAGGTGATGCAGTGGATAGAGACTCATCCCTGAGTTCAAATCCCAGCCTCAGACACTTACTAGCTATGTGACCCTGGGCAAGTCACTTAATCTATGTCTCGGTTTCCTCATCTGGAATATGACCTGGAGAAGGAAATGGCAAGCCACTCTAGTACCTTTGGCAATAAAACCCTAAACAACTCAACAACAACAAAGTAGTAGTAGTAGTAGTAGTAGTAACAACTAATATTTATAAAGCACTTACATTGCCAGGCACTCTTAATAAATGCTTTATAATTATTATATCATTTAATCCTCATAACAACCCTGGGAGGGAGGTGCTATTATGATCCCCATTTTATTGATGAGGAAACTGAGGCAGATAGAGGTGAAGTGACTTGTTGAGAGTCACACAGCTAGTTAAGTGTCTGAGGCCAGATTTGAACTGAGATATTCCTGACTCCAGGCCTGGTACTCCATCTTCTATAGTACCCAACTGCCAAGTGCACTAGGAACCCTTTGGTGGAGGGGTTAGAGCAGGCTACCCAACAAAAAAATGAAAGAAGAGCTGGCAGTCCCTGCTGCCTATCCTGCTCTGATAGCAAACACTTCTCTATGTCCTGTTCTACTGGAAAAGGGAAACCCTGCTGACTGGGGGCCTAGGAGAGGCAGCGTGGTGTCATAGAATGAGTTCTGCACTTGGAATCAGGAGATCTGGATTCAAATCTCACCTGCTTGTTCTTAATTCAAATATTAAGATCATGTTTATATTGCTATGGGAAAAATATCTCCTCTTAGAGTGTGCATGGTAGGTTACTAATGCTGCAATAAATCTACCACAATGTAGAAATAAGAAAGGCAAAAACTTAGGTTTTATTAGGCTTAAGCACAGGTTCAGGAAGTACAAAAATACTCCTGAGCAAAAATGAGGATTCTAAAGAGTCTTTTTATAGACAAAATTATGCCAGTGACAGATAAATAATTCTTTTACATATTACAATCTCGTACATTCTTTTAGGCTATAAAAGATTTTTTAAACAAGATTCATAAGTGGCACAGGGTATAGAGCACCAGGCCTGGAGTCAGGAGGACCTGAGTTCAAATCCAGCCTCAGACGCTTACTAGCTGTGTGACCTTGGGCTAGTCACTTCACTCTGGTTGAGATGTGTGCATGTATGTGTGTGTGTGTGTGTGTGTGTGTGTGTGTATAGATTTGATATATATATATATATACATATATATATTCATAAATATCCGATGCTTCCTTCAATGTCATAAAAGTTGAACACAGTTAAATGCAATCATAAGCTCATATATCTTCTAAGGGAACAAACCTAGTAAGCAAACCCTATTGGTAAACTGAGTCAGGTTACAGATTAAACACTGAGCTTGCAAAATCCTACACTTATGGAAACACAAGGCTACATTTTAAAGAAGTGGGCTTTACAAGTCATGACTGGCATCAGGGACATTCTTCCACAAATAAAGTCTTTTTTGAAGGTTTTTAAATTGCTGTATTCCTTTCCTCCTCACATTTGCTTTCTTATCTCAGGAATGCCAAAAGTCTTCCTTTAAACACCATTGTTCCATGAGTCAGGTTTTAGGCAGGTGAGGTTAATATTAAAAGAAGATAAACTTTCCGTTAACCAAAAGTGGCAGGAGGAATGGGCCTGAGCCCTTAATAATAAGAAATTAGTGGGGCAAGTAGGTGGTGCACCAGGCCTGGAGTCAGGAGGACCTGAGTTCAAATCCAGCCTCAGACCAGACACTTAGCACTTACCAGCTGTGTGACCCTGGACAAGTCACTTAACCTCAACTGCCTCATGAAAAATATTAAATGAATAAATGAGAAATTAGTAATAGGAAATGAAAGATAAAAATTTCCCATCACGATTTCCCCTGTCTTCATAGATATGTTCACTTTAAGGGGAAGCAAGGTGATGCAGTGGATAGAGCATCAGCCCTGGAGTAAGGAGGACCTGAATTCTAATCTGACCTCAGACACACAATACTTTCTAGCTATGTGACCCTGGGCAAGTCACTTAACCCTGATTGCCTCACAGAAGAAAAAAAAAAAAGATATGTCCACATCAGATTTTGGGCATGTATCTCTGCAGGTAAAGAGAAGAACAGGAAATACTAAAGCAAGAGTAACATAATAATGATCACCATTATTAAACAATACAAGGTCTCACTGATTCAGCTTGTTCCTGGTAACCCATCCCAAATTTGCACTTAATCAGTTTCTTTCCAAGAAGTACCACATAGCCATCTAGTGCCTGGAAACATTTTCCCTTAGAAATTCTGGAATAGACCTCATCACCAGGGCAATTCTGGAGGTGTTCTTCCTAGTAGATCTGCTTCCCTGGTTCTACCTCACTTGCAGAGGTTGCCAAGGTAAGGCTGCTAAAATCTGCTAATGATAAGACTTCATACAATTTAGTAAGGCCTAACACAACTTCTTAAATTTGGTTTTCCAGTAACTAGTTCATGTGGTGAAAACCAGTTTAAATATTATGGTGCTAACTTTATTAACAACAGAGCTATATGAAGAACATTAAATTAGCAATCATAATTGGTCTGAAAATTCAGAGAATTTCAGTTTTTACATACTGCTTACTGTTTCTATCTTTACTTGAACCCTGTACCTGATATGGACAATGCCATCAACAGGCCAAAAGAACAATCTTTTTCTTTCATTAATTTATTTTGCTTTATCAGCAATCACTTCCATAAGCTTTTGAGTTTTAAATTTTTCTCTCCCTCCCTCCACACCTCCCTCCCCAAGATGGCACGCAATTTGATATAGGTTATACATATACATTCTTATTAAACATATTTTCACATTAGTGATATTGTGAGCAAGAATTAGAACCATTAGGAGGAACCACCACAAAGAGGAAACAAAACACAACAGGAGAAGCAAATAGTATGCTTCGATCTGCATTCAAACTCCAAAGCTCTCTCTCTGGATGTGTACAGCATTTTCCATCATGAGACTTTTAGAGATGTCTTAGATCCTTGTATTGCTGAGAAGGGTTAAATCTATCAATACTAGTCATCACACAATGTCACTGTTACTGTGTACAACGTTCTGGTTCTGCTCATTTCACTCAGCATCAGACCATACAAGTCAAAGGAATAATCTTCAAAAGGATCCATGAAGGCCTGATTTGGAAAATGACCGCTTCTGTCTCTTAATATGACCAGACAGAGACTTCAAAATAGGAAATAAATGCTACTTAAATTTTTATTTATGATTATTAACACAATTTTACATGTAAAATAAGTAATCCAATTTTGAACTTATTACTGAAATGTAATAAAAGCCTGTAGATCCCAGAAAAAAAGAAAGAAAAAATATTTTTAAAAATTCATCTATGTGTATTCAATTGAACCTGAAGGATGTTCAGTACTTTGTTCAATACTTTTGCAGTCTTCTTAATTACCTTCAGGAACAAAAGAAAAAAATATTTAAAATATATCATCCAAGAATATCACGTTTACTTGTATTTTTGGCATTGTTCTTAATGGAAACATTTTTGGCATCCAATCATATATACATATATATATATATATATATATATATATATATATATATATGTATATCTGTGTGTGTGTGTGTAGATATTATACATGCATATATGTACAGTAATTCTTAAAAACAGTCTAATACTTTGCTTCTCTCAAAGTGAAGATTACTATTCCATTAAAATTGAACACTTTTACATAAAATTTGAAACTTAAAACCTTTATTACATCTTGATCACATCACATTTTTGTCCTATTGCCCACTTTTAGGATATATCTGTATCTACTTATCTATCTATCTATCTATCTATCTATCTATCTATCTATCTTATTGCACCATCCATAAAAGAAGTGGCACTGTGCATATCTGATTCTACACATGAATGCTTAATGATCAACAGAAGGATGGCTGACAAGCCTAAGGAATTATTTATCTAGCTGTTTAGGTTAGGAAGTAGAAACAATTAGTGACCACAAATTCCAAATCGGAAAATTAAAAACATTCGGTCTTTCATACTTGCATCCTATTATAGTAAAGCAGAGATGTTTCAGTATTGCAACAATAAGATTAATCATATAAAAATAACAACAACAACTTTTAAAATTCCCCTGCCCTGGTTATAGAAAGGAAGCTAGAGGGAGATGGTTATAAGAAAATCAAAACTGCCCCTTCAATGGCATGGACTCATCTGACATGAACATAACAGGATAACGCTTCTTTAACGCTATTTAATTCCGTGTAAGAGTCATAGTTAACAGTGAATCATGTAGCCAAATTCTACATTATTCCCAGAATATATAATACCTGGCCTGCCTGTGGCCTGGCACAGGATGAACCCGGTGGGAAAATCTCCTCTTCAGAAAGGAAATAGCACAGTGGAGAAACTGAGTCATAAAGCTCTTACCTTTACCTATGCAAGGTCATCCTTTCAACCTTCCAGGCACAGTAGCAGTTGTTTGATCTAACTCCCTTTGAGCAGCACATGACTTTTCCCTTGAATGATGAATAATTGACTTAATAATTCAGAAAGTCATACCCGAAATCATAACTCAGAACAACATAACAAAATATTGTTCCAAGAGATTTTACCTCATCCCACATTAGGGCTGGATCCAATTGTTATTCTTTTTCTCACATAAGTACATAAAAAAGGCTTTATTGTATTTATCCTTTCTAATTTAAATCCATCCTGAAGCAGAATCAATCATTGGAAATTAAGGAACACATACAGTGAATATATAAGAGTTCACTCAAAACCCAGAAATACTGTGACCACTGTATGCTTCTATGCTGACAGATATCCATGTCTGCAGAGATTACATACTAACCCCTAAGATAAACATAAAATCTTTACATCTGGGGTCTCTTAATATTAAGACAGCTTATAGGTATAACTTCAACATATACTCTTCCAGGTACAATTTAATATCATGAGCCATCGATAAATGGTCTATCAGATAAAAATTTCTTCCTAGAAATCAAATTTGTAAGCCCCCTTACTTCAACTGTGAGATGTCCTAGTTTCTCTTTTATGGGAGTGGGGAACCTGTGGCCCCAAGGATACATATGGCCCACTAGGTGGTCAAGGGAGGCCCTTTGACTGAATCCAAATTTTACAGAACAAATCCCATTAATAAAAGGATTTCTTCAGTAAAAATTGGACTCAGTCAAAATGCTAGAAGGCCACATATGTCATAAAGGCCACAAGTACCCCACTTCTGCTTAGGAATTTCACAACATTTCAAATCTGACCTCAGACACTTGATGCTAACTGTGCGACGTGGGGTAAGTCACTTAACCCGGATTGCCTTACCGAAAAAAAAAATTGTTTTAGACTCAAACACCAGAACACAAACACAGAATAGAGAAAGAAAAAGGGGAAAAAAATGCATCATAAACTGAAATACTAGAACTTAATTACAAAGGAAGAAAAAAAAAAGCTTGCCATGTGCATAGCAGAACATAGGAGAGGATTCAAAATATGCAATGATAAATTTTCGGCTTCCACCCTTTAAAGATGAGATTGGAAGTGCTGCCAAACAGGTACCTGACACAGCTTCAGATTTCATGACACTGTTTACACTTGGGTAAAAAAAAGAAATGATGATGGAAAAACACACACACACACACACACACACACACACACACCCCAAAAAGTGCATCTGAAGATATCACACTTCCAGTGATGTTCAATTCCCTCCTTTATTGGCATAAAACTAAACCTTAAAACTATATAGATATTTGTATGTCATTCTGAGTGTGAAAGAAATCTTACAGCTGATGCCTTCAGGAATTATTTACAGAGGCAGAAGTGAGAAAAGTGGCAATAGATCGTGAAAGTCTTTGGATGTGTGTGTGTGTGTGTGTGTGTGTGTGTGTGTGCATGCCTGTGTGTTTTAGCATATTGCCTCAGTGACAAATATCAACTGCATTTTGCACTAAAGCGTGATCTACCTAGAGAGGGTCAAAAATCACAATTAGCGTTAATAGGAGAACATATACCACTTTAAATGAGACCACATCAAAATCAAATCAAATCTGGATTTACAATTATAAATGGTATCATTCAAAATTTTAATTGTCCCAAGGGTTATTAACTGTCAGTATTTTTTAGTTTAATATAAACTAATTTTTTATTATTTTTTTTTTGGCTATTCAATGGGATTAAGTGACTTGCCCAGGGTCACACAGCTAGTAAGTGTTATGTGTCTGAGGTCATATTTGAAGTCAGGTACTCCTGACTCCAGGGCTGGTGCTCTATCCACTGTGCCGCCTAGCTGCCCCGTAGAAAAATTTATTATATAATAAAAAATGCATGCTGGAAACAAAAGGTACATGAAATATACAGAGCAATGAAAAAGAGGTCAAACAAGACAAATCTTTCAAATCTAAAACTGAAGGAAATATACTATCTTTATGCCAAAAATCAAAGTATTTAGGGGGTAGCTAGGTGGTGAAGTGGGCAGAGCAGTGGACCTGGAGTCACGAGCACCTGAGTTGAAATCCAGTCTCAGCCACTTGACACTTACCCTGGGGAAGTCACTGAACACGGTTGTTCTGAAGAAAAAACAAAACCAAACCTGTTTTTGACTCAAACACCAGAACAAAAACTCAGAATAGAGAAAGAAAGGGGGGAAAAAAGTAAACATAAATATCGGAACTTAATTACAAAGTAAGAAAGGAAAAAAAAAACAGCACACCCTGTGTCTAACAGAAAATAGGAGCAGATTCAAAATATGGAATGATAATTTTTCAGCTTCTGCCCTTTAAATATGATGTTGGAAATGCTGCCAAAAAGGTACATGACAGAGCTTCAGATTTCATGATGCTGTTTATACTTGGGAAATAAAATGATGATGATGGAAAAAAAAACCACACACACGTGCCCGCACACACACACACACACACACACACACACACCACCCCAAAAAGTACATCTGAAGATATCACACTTCCAGTGATGTGTAATTCCCTCTGTTTATTGGCGTAAAAGTAAACCTTAAAACTATTGACATGTTTGTATGTCATTCTGAGTGTCAAAACATCTTACAGCTGATGCCTTCACGAATTATTACAATATAGAGGTGAAAATGAGAAAAGTGGCAATAGCTCATTCAACACTTTGGATGGGTGTGTGTGTGTGCATGCGTCTGTGTTTTAGCGTATTGCTTTAATGACAAAAATCAACGGTATTTTGCAGTAAAGCGTGATCTACCTAGAGAGGGTCAAAAATTACAATTAGCGTAATAGGAGAGCATATTTCACTTTAAATGAGACCACATTAAAATCAAATCAAATCTGGAGTTATAATTGCAAATGGTATCATTCAAAAGTTTAATTGTCCCAAGGGTTATTAACTGTCAGCATTTTTTTACTTTAAGGTAAACTTAATTTTTTATCATTATTTTTTTTTTTCTGTATGCAGTGAGATTAAGTGAATTGCCCAGGGTCATACAGCTAGTAAGTGTTACTTGTCTGAGGCCGGATTTGAAGTCAGGTACTCCTCACTCCAGGGCTGATTCTCAATCCACTGGACCACCTACCTGCCCTCAAGATCAATTTGTTATATAATAAAAAATGCATGCTGGAAACAAAAGGTACATTAAATATACAAAGCTGTAAAATAGAGGTTGAGTGAGACAAATCCTTCAAATCTAAAACTCAAGGAAAATGACCAACCTTCATGCTAAAAAACAAAGTGTTTAAGGGGTAGCTAGGTGGTGAAGTGAGTCGAGCACTGGGCTTAGAGTCAGGAGCACCTGAGTTGAAATCCAGTCTCAGACGCTAGACACATACTAGCTCTATGACCCTGGGGAAGGTATTAACACAGAGGGCCTAACCAAAGAAAGAAAAACACAAAAGAACAAACCAAACATGCTTTAGACTAGAACACCAGAACACAAATACAGAATACACAAACACAGAAGATGGTGTCCTGAGAACCAGGCAGCTGTATGAGATGAGAGTTGTATTTTATAATTTGCTTTTTCCCTGTGTGAGATGACAGTTGTACTTTATTATTTGTTTTTCCTCTGTGTGCCTTTCATCTGGAAGGTCTACTTAACAGAGGGTCCACCCCAGTGCAATGGATCTCTTTGCCTTTTCCCCTCACATTGTTTCCTTTTATAAGCCCCTTGATGACGTTTTTGTCATATCAGTTAGTGATTCACTGAGGACACTTTCTCTCAGTAGAATCAAATAGGGAGATGAGAGAACCGATGATCTCTCACTTGGTAGCAATAGCTACTTATTGCATTGAGGTCAAGGTTTTTCCCCTTTTCTACTTCCTCATCCAGAAATCAGCCAGCATGGGAAGTTTTAAACCAAGACTTTCCAAGGCCACTATCTAACCAGACAGTAAGAGAGATTCTAAGTTTGGGTAATGGGAAGATTCCTGCTCCTTGCGTTACTCAGACAGGTCTGGGAAGGTGTTGATTCTCCCTTTTCTCAGACAGGTGATATGCAAATGGGCAAGTCTCTTTGACCAAGACTTGAGGGATCCAAGTCACATACCCCCAAGACCCTCATTTTAATGTAACTCACCTCCCATTATAATATTCATTCTCTCTCTTTCCCTGTTGCCAATCAGAGTTGATTGCCACCCTCAGGAACATCCACTCTCCCAAGGGCATGTAAAATGTGAGCCCATCCCCATGAAGGGTCTTTGGAATTCAAGAGGGCCACTGACCTCTTTTTATTAATAAATATGCAAGCCGAAAATCATTTAATTACCCCTAAACTCTGTCTCTTGAACTTTTAAAACACCACAGTGTATAGTGAACCACACAGAGACTTTAGAGGAAAACAGAGAGGTCTGGCTTAAGGTCTCCTAGCAAAACCCAAGACAGTATTTGAGGAGGGTTTAGTTTGTTGCCTGGCACATAGTAGGCCCACAGTAAATGAATATTCCATTCCCTCAAGCTGTCCAGGGGGGTCTGATCTCAGAGACTGACCTTGCTCATTCTCCCTAGGGCTGAGTTCCCAAAGGAGTCTCCTAATCAGACTTGCCTTGGCCATCCTTCCTCAGAGGTGTGCATCCAGAGTCTCTGCGAGGCTGAGGTCCTCCAGCCTCCCCTTCTGCCCTGACAGTCTCACAGAGACAGCAACATTTGATCAGCCACCCGTGAGCACGTTTCTTTCTTTGCCTCTTACTCCCTGCTGGAACAATATCTCAAAAGCCTTTCTTCCCAGATGGACCTTGCCCACCCTCTCCAGGCGTGAGTTCCTCAGAGGCAGTTCCTTCAAGAAACTGACTTTGACCATTCTCCCCAGATCTGAGCCTGCAGTAGGTATCTCCTCCCAGACACTGAGGTTGTCCCTTCCAGCCTAAGCACCACAAAAGTTTCAACAGATTGACTATTTAAATGCAAGAGAAAAAAAAAAACCAAAAACCAAATGCAGACCCATATATAGAAGTACAGAGGGCACACATAGAAAACAGGCTTAATTCCCTTTCTGCAATTTTGGAAAGCAGTCTTTCTGGCTTGGCTGGGTTTTCCCCTTCAAACTCTCTAAGGTGCATATAGCCTCGTGCACACAGGAGAATTTCTCAAGTGCAAGGCCGAGTCTTTCCAACCTTACCTTCTCTCCCTTTGTGGTTGCCAGATTTGGTATGGGAAAATATCTCCTATTTTCAGTTTTTCTGGAGTTTCCTACTGCCAAAATAAATTCACCCCAGTAATAGAGGCCAAAACCTAGGTTTTATTATGCTGAAACAAAGGTTTAGCAGGTACAAAAATAATCATGAACAAAAATTAAGATTTTACAGAGGCTTATTATGGACAAAATTGTGTCAGAGTCAAAGATAAATAATGATTTTACGTATTACAATCTTGTACATGCTTTTATGCTGTAAAAGATTTTTTTTAAAAAAAGGCAGATTTCTAACCCCATGTTTCCTTCAATGTCCTAGAAGTTGAAAAAACTTAGTCAAACGGAATCGTAATCTGATTCTTTCCACTGACCAAGAACCACAAGGGGCAGGTACCTCCTAGTAAAACATGCCGTCCAAAATATGTAAATCACGGGACCATAGGGCATTTCTTGGAGCATAGTAACACAAATATTGTCTGCCCTACATCCTGGTCCTAGAAATCTTGTGTGTTTATGAAAACAATTGAAACAATTTTGACAAACAGCTGCCCTATTATGGTGATGAGAGGCCACATCCCTGCAGACAACACAAACTGATCTAGATGGGTGTAGCATGGCCAGGGGAGGAAAATAAGGAATTGATCGAGTTCCACGAACAAAAGAATTTTCAGTCCTTGTTGTCAGTGGTGGAGTAAAATGAGGCTGAAGCAGCATCCAGGGGTTGAGGAGCGTGTTGAAGAGATATCTCTGTTGCATGACCATCTGCGGGTGGACAGCTGATAGATAGTCTAGGAGACGTAAATCTGGCAAGCCAGTTCAATCTGGGAGCCCAAGTATAAGGAGCATTGAAAGTGATGGCAGAGAAGAGGAAAGCAAAGAAAGAAACCGGGAGCCCCAGGATGCTAGTATTTGCTTTTGACATACAGGATTATCGATCTTGTTATTTTCTCAAAAGTTTCCACTCTGATTCTAATTCCTTTAAGAAGGTCACATTCTACTGAGGATCCAACCCTACGCAGTAAGTGTAAGTGACAACAATTTTGCAGGTAGAAGCTTTCTGCCCTTGAGTTCAGCAGTTACACAAACAAATTTGCTTATAAGAGGCTAACTTTATTTCAGTTATCATAAAAGACTTGAAAGCGTCTGTGGGTAATTAATTCCAAGACAGTGCATATCTGTAAGCTGTTTACAACAAAACATGTTTGTAGCACAGGACACACAGTATAAATTGGTATTATTTCCACAATAGTAGTGAACTTTGAATGAAATTGACTTCTCCATTAATGCAAAGATATCCCATACGTTAACCTTTCTCTAACAAAATTGATTGCACTGAAATTCTCTTCCCCAAACTGAAGAAGTTTCTGATTAATTTTAGTAATTAATAGAATAATAGTTTTAGTAATTAATAGAATAACAGCAAAGGCCCTCAATCAGTTGTACCAATACCCAATTGTTCTGGCATCATTTTGAGGCATTTAAGGACCTTTTTCCGTACAGGCAAACATCTAGCAGCAGGCAGATGACTAGGCCAAATACCCATTTGCCAAGTTGTTTAGGATAAAGAAAGGAATAAAGTATTGGACTGAATAGCTCATATCTTAAACACACACCTTAATGTAGTAGCTCAGATGTCTCCCAGCCTTAGTCTGTGGGATAATGATTCAGCATTGTGTTTGCCTTTGTCTGTTTCCAACAAACTTCTTCTCCCTTTGTCTAATTATTCCCATATCATTCAGCAAGCAGGAATTTAATCTTTCACATGACTATGCAGGCGTTGTAATTTACCCAGATGTTTGGGGTATGGAATGACTACACATTCATATTGAAAACAGCAAAATTTCACTTACTTGCATTGTGCTCCTATCTTTTACTGACCACTTGTTTGATTACAGAAATTTGCCATAAAAAAAAAAAGCAAGGACATGATTAGATAAAACACCACACTTCTCCAACCACACAATATCAATTCCTCCTCATAGCCATACTCAGGAATAGTCAGGTAGGAAATGCCCTTTTCAAAAGAACACAATGGGGAACAGGAGGATCCCATCTTAGGCTGCGGCTAAGACCGTCCTCTCAGCTTTTCCAGATGGCAGACCTCCACCTGTAACAGTTGCATTGTCTCTGAATAGTTTGTGGCGTTTCTCACAGATGGTGGATTATTGAGTATTGGTGGATTATTATGACTCATCAGACAGCTCAAACTAAACTCTGTTATAGTCCCAAGAGCTTTTATTTTATTTTTTTTTTAATCTCAGATGGCAGAGTTCCCTAATCAAAAATGTACCATGACTTACATCTCAAATTTAAATTTGTCCTTGTGGAAAAACCAGTCATTAGAGATCATTTCTATATACTTGTAAATTCTCAACAAGCCAAATTCATTGTTTAGGACCTCCATAACCCAAATAAGCTCTTTGAAAGCTTACAAAATTAAGGAAGATCAGTAGGAACCCCTGAGAAGGGGCTCCCTTATCTACCCCATTTACCCTTAGAGCTGTCGTGGGCTGTGCCTTTGGACTAGCCCTGAGGACTGCTCTGCATAGGCAGAATCGATCTAGATGAGGCTTTCACCTCATCCCCTCCTTTACTCTCCCCCCCAGAGTAATCAATTACTAGCTTTAGGTTGTAGCATTAAAACAATAACCAAGAGTCTTAAAATTTTCATAAGTGATCGCCAAATTGTTTTATCTGTAACACAAGCAATAAACTTCAGAAGACATCAATTGCATTTCCAGATCATATAAAAATCACTGATAGAAGGGTAGGTTGGCTTACCAAGTGCAGACACTGACTGGTTTCTTTACTTTGACCCATCCCCCTTCACTCCCTCCCTATAGCTGTGGCTGTGGCTAAGTCTGCATGATACTTCCAGGCTTTCTGTGCCAGATACGGGGCGCCCAAGGCCGTTATCAGTGGGGCCCAAGCTGTAGGTACTGCTCCTCTCCTCCCCCCTTTCCTGTGGCCAGGTAGGGGAGGGTGGATTTGCAGGTGGGGATGGAAGAGTGAAACTCTCTTGTCCTACTCTGATGTGAGATAAGAGGGGTTAACAGGAAAATGGGCTGTTTGCAATCCCCTCACTGAGATAGCCTCTAGACTCAGGGGAAGGGATGTAGGAAGGGGGTGATGAGATTGTAAAGAGGTTTTTCAGAGCTCATTAACGATCAATCTCACACTTCCAGAATCCCCTAAGATAATTTTAGCTGTCCCTACCTTTTTCACTTTTCAGACAGACAGTCAACTAAACCAGTGCCTTTTCTTATGGTAACAAAACTCAGAAAATTCACAGTAGGTTTGGACATAGTTGTTATCAGTATCAAACTATTATTGCAACAAATTAGTTGCAAATGGAAATCTATTAGGCTTTCACAAAAGATTTTGCAAAACATTTCTTCCTAAGAGTATTTCTCTTTCTTAAAAAGCTTACAATTCATCCTGATGTTAAGAGGAGTAATCACTAAACCAAGTTGGTGTAAAATGTCTTTTAAGTATCACAAATCCCCAAAGTGTCATAAAACCAAAATTGTGAATCATCCCAAATTCCTAAGTACCACCCTACTCTAGTCGAAAAAGTGTTTACCATGGGAAGGAAGTTCAGTTTTTATAAGACAAGAACATACCCAATTAAATTAGCTTTGCCACAATAACAAAGTTTACCAGGCTTTAAAAAAATTGACTCAGTAGGAATTGCACAACAGAGAGAACTTTGCACAGGGCTGATGAGAATTTATGACTAGATGATTCCAAAAATCCTTGTTTTAGTTAACACCTTAATAATCTGATAGTAAATTCTTTTTTTTTTTTTAAGGAGAGGCAATGGGGTTAAGTGACTTGCCCAGGGTCACACAGCTAGTAAGTGTTACATGTCTGAGGCTGGATTTGAACTCAGGTCCTCCTAAATGCAAGGCCAGTGCTCTATGCACTGCGCCATCTAGCTGCCCCTGAGAGTACAATTCTTAATCTAACAACAGTTAGATTATAAGAGAAATTGTTTTTCTAACCAGAGAGATGATGTAATTGTTTACCAAATTTCACAACATAAGAAAATTTTGAAACACCACCTTACCATAAGCAATTACCATGTATTTAAACTTGGAACAAAACCAAATAATTACCAATCAGGCAACCTTAGTTTACTTGGATGAGCAGATCAGATTTGGATTCATAATCACACATGGTAATATTTAAAATTATCAGGCCCAGTACTCTTAGCACTTTAAAAGAAAAGATTATTATCCATAAATTCACATGTTTTGTTTGTTTGTTTGTTTTTGATGAGGCAATCGGGGTTAAGTGACTTGCTAGTAAGTGTCAAGTGTCTGAAGGTGGATTTGAACTCAGGTCCTCCAACTCTAAGGCTCCTGGAGCTCTATCCACTGCACCAGCTAGTTGCCCCTTTTTTCACTTTTTTTGTGAAGACACGTGGTGACAGTTCCTAGCTCCAAATAACCTTTACTTCCTTAAAGAGCTAGACTTCCCTGTCCCTTTTACCTTTAAGACTTATCAGATAAACAGCTGCCCTAAGCATTCCAGCTCTCCATTTCCATCCCCCCTGGGAACTTTAAGCCTTGTGTACTAGGGAATATGTATAAAGTTTTAAGTTAACAATCCAGGTGCAGAGATGCAGCACAGGACATAGAGACTCAGAAAGCAAGGCTCTGAGGCTCTCCCAAAATAAACAGGGGCTGAGACCCATGTACCTGCCTCCGCAAATGTCCCACAGGGAAGGGAACA